TTGATATCTCAATTTTATTATAATATTCTTTACTTAAATTAAAACCTAATATTTTATCATGATAAAAGCTCTCCCCTTACCTTACGATAAAAATGAATTAGAGCCAACCCTATCTAAAAATACTTTTGATTATCACTATGATAAGCACTATCTAGGATACGCTAATAAACTTAGCGCTCTGGTCGATGGAACAAAATATTACAACATGCTTCTTGCAGATATTATTATTGAATCATATAAAAATAACGATACTCCTATTTACAATAATGCAGCTCAGGTTTGGAATCATATTTTTTATTGGAAATCTATAGGTAAGACACAAAAATGCCCTACTAAATTGATTGAGTTGCTAAATAGGGATTTTGGCAGTTATGATACCTTTATCGAAAAATTTATACAAGCTGGTGTTACTTTATTTGGTAGTGGTTGGATATGGCTGGTTCAAGATAAAGAATCTAAAAAATTATCGATACTGCAAACTAAAGATGCAGATAATCCATTAATTCTAGATAAAACTCCAATACTAACAATAGATGTATGGGAACATGCATATTATATTGACTATAAAAATGATAGATTAAAATATCTTGATCAAATTATAAAAAATAATATCAAATGGCTTTTTGCTGTAAGTAATCTTAATTAACTATTATAAGTTAAGTATATAATCTTTTTTTATTGATACTTGACCATGATATTTTATTTACACTTCTCTAATGCCTGTAATTTCAGATATCTCACTAATTGATGCTTAAGAAAAATTTACCTTATACAGTTATAACTAGAGGAAGACAACTTGTAATACTGGTAAGTCAGCAAAAATCTATTATTACTTGCTGTTAAAAATAAACAAAGCGGTATAAAATATGGTAAAGTAGAGAGAGGTGGTCCTAAAAAATGGCTTTTTCAACAGCTCCTATTGTTTGTTGTATAAACAGACTTAAAATTTTAATGTCCATTTAAGATCATAATCTAAATTAGACTTGACTATATTAGACTATAGTCTAATATATAGATGAATATAAATATTAAATTCATGGAACGTTATTTAAAATCAATAATTACTNCAGATAGTGAATCT